TCAAATAAGCATGAGCCTTACAAGCTTGTTCTGGTGCTTGCTAAAGGCACTGTTGGAGAGTCTCGTCAAAATATTAAGTGCCTTTCCCAGGAGGCAAACTTAGCCTTATTATTTGCAAGATTTGATGTAAATGCCTTACAAAACAACAGAATTCTTTTGTCCATTTAGGGGCAATCATTCTGAGAGAATATTCATGGACTCAATATTTTAGGAAGTAATTGATTTCATTTCTAGAAGTTTTAGATCAAAATCTGATTGCTTTTGGTCAAAGGTTGTGTGATATTAAAGGGGCAAACAGTTACTATATGATTTCTTCTGTAGTAGTTTTGACTCTGGTGAAAAATCTATAAAAATAGATTTATGTAATCCAACTTTAAAAATGATTAAGTAGATTAATAGGAATAGTATTAAAATACATAATATTTTAAAAATAGCCATTATAAACACAGATATAAAGTTCTTTGTACTAAACATTGAAAGCTATTTTTGATACATTTAATTCTAGTTAAGGTAACTGCTATCAATTATGACATGATATCCATTCATCTTTTAATCCATTTAGCTATTCTCTTGTTTGTGTGTATTTAGGCTGCTTCTTATTTTGAAATAGTTAAAATAATGATATAATAAAAGTTTAGAAACTTCTAGTGAGCCTGTTTGAGTTTTTATAAGGTACGTCCTTATAGATAAGCTCTGAGATTCATATGACCTATGTGTGTTTTACAATTTTTAGATGAGATCAAATATTATTATGATGTGCCAATTTACAATTCCATCATCTGTGTACAATGACAATATTTACATTAACATTTTTAATGTTTCAAAATGTTACACTCTATATTTGTACATTTATCAATACGAAATAATACATAATTGATTGTACTAACACTTCTGAGTCACATAGAGATTAAGGGTGTTTTCAAACTGTGCTACCACCTCTGTAATCAAATGTTACCCAAATCTTTCCTGGTGTCCTGGTGTCATCTCTTTAGAAACATATTCATTGCATTTGTGTGTGTGTGTGTGTGTTTGTAGCTGACCACTTGAGATCAGATAACCTATCAGGAGGTTCATCCATGAACAAAAAGATTGAAGACAACATTAGAAAACAGAAATATTTCCTATATTCATGGTTTAGCAGAATTAATATTGTGAAAATGTAAATTACACCCAAACCATTCTACAAATTCAGTGAAATACCGATCAAAGTCCCTAGACATTTTTCACAGAAATAGAAGGAAAAAACTCCTAAAATTTATATTGAGCCACAAAAGTCAAAGCAATTCCAAACAAAATGAACAGGGCTGGAAGTATTAGCATTCCAGATTTCAAGTTCTATTATTTCCAATAGAATGATCAAGGAGTGTTTCTGATGTAGTGACTTTCAAAGGACTTACATTTTCCAATTGAGATACTCCTTTAAAAATAACTGGCCTGATACTTTAATTCAAAGACAAAATTGTTTATTAGATAGTCCATCTTTACTCTATTGCATACTTTATTTTTGATCATCTTCAAACGAAGCTGAATCATTCTAGTCCTTCTATTTTATGTCATCCGAGCTTTACGCTAATCTCTTCTGTTTTATTCTTTCTTTTATTTCTGTAATGTTGAAACACTTTAAATATATTCAATTGTTTTTCCTACCTTTCTTGTATTTCATATCCTTTTAATTATATTCATAAATAATTACCTTAAATGTTATATCTATTTGACAATTGAATGGTATTTCATATTTCTACTCACTTTCCAAATCTTATAAGAATGTACTAATTCATGATTTACCCCCTCATTCTATGTAGCATGTCCTAATTAGTTTTTCTAACTTATTCTCTTAGTCCTTATTAGGCATTTTAAAGTTTATAAATGCATTTGCTAGTACTTGTGCTTGTTGTTCCTGGTTATATATTCATAAGAGTTTCCGTTCCAACTACAGGAAGATATTCTTTTAGAATATTGAGAAGGCCTATTTAATCATTTACTTATATTTGTGCATAAAGCATATACATGTTAGGTAGAATTTCAGTTACTGAAGGAATAGCAGTGAACAGAAAATGTCCCTACTATAATGGAATTTCCAGCCTGTTGGAATGAAAGAAATAGTAAACAAAGTCATATATTTGTCAGTGTGTGAAGAAGACAAAGAACAAATTGTTCAGAGAAGGAAGATTACTATTTGTTTATGGTAAGATGATCAAAGAATTTGTCTTTACTGCATAGTTCGATAAGACTGAAGGCTGTGGGGAAACCCTTCATAAGAAAAGCCAGAGTTAGAATGGTTCTGGAATACTAGATGCTGTGCCTTATTTACTTGTATAAAATTAGGTTATGTTTACATAGCTCTGTAAGATATAAAAATCTGAAATAATTATTTCTTCCTAGTTCCATGTGCTTTCCTCTCCTCCCCTTCTCTTTCTTCTAGCTCTTTCTCCCCTCACTGCCACCCCCAACTCCCCATATGCTCAGGAGATCTTGTCCCTTACCCCTTCTGTGAGGGACCTTGTATGAATCTCTTAGGATCCTCCTTGTATCCTAGTTTCTCTGGCGGTGTGGATTATAGGTTGGCGATCCTTTGGTCTATGTCTAAAATCCAAATATGAGTGAGTACATACCATGTTCCTCTTTTTGTGACTGGGTTACCTCATTCAGGATGGTTTCTTCAAGTTCCATAAACTTGCCTGCAAATTTCAAGATTCCATTGTTTTTTTTTCTGCATAGTAGTATTCCATTGTGTAGATGTGCCACATCTTCTTTATCCATTCTTCAGTTGAGGGGCATCTAGGTTGCTTCCAGGTTCTTGCTATTACAAACAATGCTGCTATGAACATAGTTGAGCACATGTCTTTGTTGCATGGATGTGGATCATTTGGGTATATGCTTAAGAGGGGGATTTCCGGGTCCTGTGATAGACTCATTTTCCTGAGGAACCGCCATACTGATCTCCAAAATGCACTCCCACCAGCAGTGTAGGAGCCTTCCCCTTTCTTCACATCCTCTCCAGCATAAGTTTTCATTGGTGTTTCTAATTTTAGCCATTCTGGCAGGAGTAAGATGGTATCTCAGAGTTGTTTTGATTTGCATTTCCCTGATAGCTAAGGATGTGGAGCATTTTCTTAAGTGTTTCTCAGCCTTTTTGATTTCCTCTATTGAGAATTCTCTATTCAGTTTTGTACCCCATTTTTAATAGGGTTCTTTGGTATTTTGTTGACTAGTTTCTCGAGTCCTTTGTATATTTTGGAGATCAGCCCTCTCTCAGATGTAGAACTGGTGAAGATCTTTCCCCAGTCTGTGGGCTGCCTTTTGGTTTTATCAACTGTGTCCTTTGCCTTGCACAAGCATCTCAGCTTGAGGAGGTCCCATTTATTAATTGTTGATCTCGGTGTCTGTGCTCCTGGAGTTATGTTCAGGAAGCAGTCTCCTGTACCAATTTGTTCAAGGGTACCTCCCACTTTCTCTTCTAAGAGGGTCAGTGTGGCTGAATTTATGTTGGGGTCTTTAATCCATTGGGACTTGAGTTTTGTGCATGGCAATAGACATGGGACTATCTGCAGTCTTCTATATGCCATCATCCAGTTGTGACAGCACCATTTGTTGAAGATGCTTTCTTCCTCTCATTGTATACTTTTAGCTGTTTTGTCAAAAAATCAGGTATTCTTTGGTGTGTGGCTTAATGTCTGGATTTTTGATTTGATTCCATTGGTATACCTGTCTATTTATACCAGGCTGTTTTCAGGACTATAGGTCTGTACTATAGCTTAAAGTTGGGAATGGGATCCTGGAGGAAGAAAAGAAATTGACTGTTTATTTGACAGAAAAGATGTCATACATGAAGGCAACAATGTATGTCAGGGAAAAGTTTACTCAAGGAATGATCAGAAGCAGTTAACAGATGTGATTTTCATATACTTCTAGTAATATTTAATTTTTTTACCTGACTAGCTGAAGGATATCTCTGTGACTTTTGTCATTTCTTTTAGTTTAAATTTTCTCTTATTTAGAATTTAAAATAAAAAATTGAATTCAAAAGTATTTACTAAAGCAATATGTGGCAGCATTCAAGCTCTCAGTCATCAATTAAATATAACTAATTTAATAATTTAAAAAAACAGAACTGTAAAGATTGGCTAAAATTTAATGCAAAGTACAAGATGTCTATGAAATATATTTTAAATGTCAAAAATTTTTGTGCAATCAAATAGCCATTCAATGCTTAAACTTATTCAAATTTTTAATTCTTATATATTATGAATATGTACAGGGTATTCTTTATTCTCTTCAGTTTTGTTATTTAAATTTACATGTCAATTCCAGTTCCCTATCCCTGTCATTCACCCCTGCCCTCTACCTCCCCCCCCATACCTTCCCCTTTCTGATCTCCAGGGAGGGTGAGGTCTTCCATGGGGAATCTTCAAAGTCTACCACATCATTTGGAGCAGGACCTAGGCCCTCCCCTATGTATCTCTGCTGAGAGAGTACACTCTATGTGGAATGGGCTCACAAATTCTTTCTTACAGTAGTGATAAATACTGATCCACAACCATTGACTGCACAATCCTCCTAACTGAGACCCATGTTCAGGGGGTCTGGGTTGGTCCTATGCTGGTTTCCCAGCTATCAGACTGGAGTCCATGAGCTCCCTCTTGTTCAGGTCAGCTATCTCTGTGGGTTTCTCTAGCCTGCTCTTGACCCCTTTGCTCATCACTTCACCCTCTCTGCAACTGGATTCCAGGAGTTCAGCTCAGTGCTTAGTTTTCCTCCTAAGATATGTTAGATATATGATTAGATATATGTATCATTTTTATCAGTAATTGCATACCTATTGGGTAACATGGCAATAAATTTTCAGTCATTATCAATTGTCATACTCACCAGTAAGTACATCTAATAGTTTCCTTCTTTTTATCACAGGAAATATTTCAATTAATATTTACCAATGGCATTGTGCATTCTCATCAGAACCCTACTGAAACATTGTTTCTCTCTTGCTCTGTCTGTTCTAGGAATATACTATTGATGTATTTTTTAGACAGACGTGGCACGATGAAAGACTGAAATTTGATGGACCCATGAAGATCCTTCCACTGAACAATCTTCTGGCTAGTAAGATATGGACTCCTGACACCTTCTTCCACAATGGCAAGAAGTCAGTGGCTCACAATATGACCACACCGAACAAGCTGCTTAGACTGGTAGACAATGGGACCCTTCTCTATACAATGAGGTAAGGACATGTATTAAATATAGTAGGTTTTCGGTTTTGCTTTGAACATTCCTTAGGTTTATCACACAGGCACATGTATCTTATATATACATACTATTCTTTCAAGTTTATGGATTTGGATAGTATGTATTTTGAAAAGTATATGTGCTTATATTTCAAGTTTATATGTTTGCACATACATATTGATGCATAAGCACACTTTTAACACATTTACATGTATACACAAATGCACATTCTATATTAAATGTAGGTAAAATATGAACATTCTGAGACACAAAGAAGTATAAGTTTATATTTTATAAATATGTACATCTTCAAAGATTTATATGTACGAATAGAGGCACATATGTGTTCAAGAACCCCTAAATATATAAACTTGCAAAAACATGCGAAGGGGCATAAACATTGTGCTCACTAGAGTATGGTAGTTTTAAATGCAGCAGCGTAGCAGCCCAGTGATTGATTTGTAAAAAGCAAAAGAGATATTTATAAATATTTTCTAGAATATTTAACATTAAAATTTTATGTCTCATTGTCTGGGTTATAAAAGTTTGATATGGGTAACTTTTCTAAATAAGTTCAGTTTACACATATCATTGAAATATTCATAACATATAAAATGTATACCTTCATACCAATATCCAAATGCATAACACTTCACAGTTTTATATTTCATATTTATCATTATCATTTGACTGATGAATAAGAATAGCCCCATAGTCTCATATAGTTGAATGCTTAGTCACAAGGGAGTACAACTGTTTTAAAGGATTATAAGGGTTAGGAGTTGTGGCCTTGTTGGAGAGATATGTCACAAGGGAATGGCTTTGAGATTTTGAAAGCCCATCCGGGGCCCAGTCTCTTTCTGCTGCTTATGAGTAAGGATGTAACTCTTATCTACTGCTCTAGTGTTATGTATCCTGCCATGCTTCCCAGCAAGATATTTTTCATTGTAAATTGGAAGAATTTATTTACATCTTTCAGGATGTCATAGTCAAGAGTTTGACCTGAGTATCAGTAAAGACTTTGGTCCTTTTAGGAGGGCTTGAGGGAGTGTGTTTGGTGTCACAGTTCACAAGGCATGGACTTGTGATGAATAATGTTGATTGACATCTTGTTTGAAATTGAGGAATGACCAGGAAAGTGGTGAAGCATACCTCTGTGTATGGCCTAAATCTTTTCAAAGGAAAAAAAAAATGAACTAAGACAAATATTGTTGGCACAAATCCATAAAATGAGGATGGATTTGTTTCTTGATATTATAAATGTTAGTAGATACACTAAAGGATTGGATAGTTTTTAAAAGATGGGAATGAATAATAGGACACTATATTAGGAGTACCTCTTACAATCATCAGCATCAAAATCACATGAACACAGTGCTTGCTAGTGTTCTATTTACTTACATTTGTAGTCTCCATAACTACCTTAAGGCCTAGGGACTATCATCTCTCTACCTTAGAGATGAGGAAACTGAGAAAATGGGGATGCCCGATGTCTATACAGTAGTTAAAGGTCAGGTTCTATTTGCTGCAAATGAGAGTCTAGCACATATTTGTCAGATAGCAGATAGAAAGATAAACACTGAGGACACTTCAGAAATAACATTTTTATGACACAGAAAAGCGCAAGAATTGACATCAAAAGTACAATTAGCTGAAAAATATGAGTGCTTAAAAGCAGGTAGGGTAAGTAAGATGGGTGAGATATATGAATACACATAATGTAAAAGAAGAATTTGGAGATAATAGCACATCAATAGGAATACATTGAAGAGAGCTACATGGGAGCAGAGTACAAGATATAGAGTGAGGCAGATAGAATGAAAAACTGGGTATGTGCACTCTTAAAAATGTGAAGAGGAGAATTTAAAAGGAGAAGAGAATGATGAAAACAGCAAAGAAGCATCTGAGCAGTGAAATAAAAAAAGGGGGGCCTGGAGAGATGGTTCAGTGGTTAAGAGTGCAGGGAAATGGAGTTTAGCTTCTAGGATCCCTGTCTGTCAGTTTACAATTGCCTATAGTTACTATAGTTACAGAAGATCTGACACTTTCTTCTGGACTTTACCAGCACTACACTACACTCAAATATACTATGCCCTCTCCCATCTTCCAGTTACCTATATTTCCAGAAGTTTGGACACTTTCTTCTTCTGGCCTGTACTAGCAAGTACAATCAAATGCATCTCTCTCTTTCTCTCCCTCCCTCCCTCTCTCTCTCTCTCTCACACACACACACACACACACGCACGCACACACACACACACACACAGATGCACACTCACTCACCCAAATAAAATCTTATAAAAAGAAATATTTGAGACAGAAATATTTGAGGGAGGCAGAAAAGAAAAGGGAGGATGTAAATACTGAACTATGAAGTTAGTACATGAAGATGCATCTTAAGAAGGGCCAAAGGTCTGGGCATTGCTGATGTACACCTTTAATCCAAGCACTTAGGAGACAGAGGCAGGCAGATCTCTGTGAGTTTGAAGACCAGCTTGGTCTACAGAGCTATTTCCAGTACTCCAAAGCAATACAGAGAAACCCCGTCTAGAAAAAAAAAAAAAAAAAAAAAAAAAATAAAGAAAGAAAAAAAAAAAAAAAAAAAAAAAGAAAATAAAAAAGAAGGGCCAATCGGCCAATCATATGGTTAGTCACCAGAAAGAAAAGAATAACTATTGAGAGCTCTATAATCTGAATCACATACAAGAAAGTGAGGATTTTTGAGCTAGGTGTATGGGTAGAATGCCTTTATGCTTATTTTGAAGTGTAGTATCAAAACAGAACAGAAGTACTAAAGGTTGATGAATCCATTATTTTCCAGCACAGCAGAGTGTACACCTTAGATCCCAGAAGGTGGGCGTGAATGAGACTCAAAACTTTGAGATAAAATCTTGGCTCTTTTTATGGTTCCACAAGTGATTCATGTAGTGACCTTCACGAGTCACAAGCTGTTTCCTTTCTTAAGTTCATCATTTAATAACATTAGCTGCTGCCTGCCTTGCAGCAACTTAGAAAGTAGAAATTGGATAAGGCCTGCAAACCATTAAAAAAAAAAAATTCTCAGAAAGACTTATTCTGTATTCTGTACAACTGTTATTACTATTGTAATGTTCATTAGTTTTATGTGAGATTCTACCAGCAAGCTTCAAAGGAGAACTACTTGGAAAAAATTGAAACAGGACTTTGATGAGTATATAACTGGGAGAGTTAGGGAACTTTTGCCTTACCTCATCTTGGAGATTCAGGATGACTATGAAATGTAGGCTAAGCCCTATTACCCACTGCTTACCTCAGCAGCACACATTCTGAAAAATTGAAACAGCACAGAAATTTCACAGAACTAGTTCAACAGGATATACACATTTATGAACTGTTCTAAACTACCCAAGATAGAGTATGTCATTAAACTTTTCCTTAGTAATGATATAATACTTACTGATGAAACAAGGGATAAATAGGTAATGGTCATCATACATGATGTCAGTAAAATATTAAGAATCCTCTTGAGCTTCTGAATAAGATGGAAAGTACTCAAAATTTAACTAGAGTTTACTCCATTGACTCATGTGCCTAACCACATATTTATAAGAACTTAGTATATGTAAAACTTTCAAATGTACCAAGATACAGAGGTAAGTAAGACACCATTTACCTCTTAAAGGCTTCATAATATTGTATGGGCTACAGAGATGGCTTGGTGGTTAATAGCAGACTGCTTTTTCCAAGGACTCTAGTTCAATTTACAGCACTCACATGACAGCTCACAACGGTCTGTAGCTCCGGTTCTAGGGTACCCAACGTTCATATACAGACATACATGCAGGCAAAATAGCAATGCACATAAATTTAAAAAAAGACTTCACAGTATTGCAGTTAAGGAGGCATGTATAAGAATACAAAATCCCTTCATAGGGAGATGCACAAAATATCATGGAATCATAGAATAAGAAGAAAGTAAATTAATACCCAAATACAGGAATGTGTGGCCATGTCTAGCACATCACTTAAAAAAAATAAAAGTAAAAAAAATCTCCATAATGTTAGGGCCAAGGTATTCTGTATCTCATACAGAAATCCTTCCAAATAGTAACAACATTTGAGCATATTTCCCTCTTCCCTTTCTTTCTTTTTTATTTTAGTTTTTGTAAGTGATGTGCTAGACATGGCCACACATTCTTGTAACTCCAGCACTTGGGAGGCTAAGACAGTGGCATTACAACTTCAAGGCCAGCCTTGGTGATATACTGACCCCCCCCCCCTCTCTCTCTGTGTGTGTGTGTGTGTTATAACAATGTGGCTAAGGCTGGCTCAGAAGCTGAGAGCACTTACTGCTCTTCCAGATGACCCAAATTCAATTCCCAACAGCCACATGCTGCTCAGAACCATCGGTAACCCCAATCCATGGGATTCAATACCCTCCCTGGCTTCCTTGAACACCAGGCATGCATGTGGTATATAGATGTATATGCAGGCAAAAGACCCATACACATAAAATAAAATAATAGCAAAATAAAAAAGAAACAAATATGAGTGACATGATGAGATCTTTTGTGCCAACATAAACAGAAGAAGCCAAAAATGTATGAAAGTTCAAATGTGATTGATGGGATGGAAATGTATTCCTTGTCCTTTCAAGTTTAAAGCAGATATCCTTCATTGGATAGTAGGATCATTTTGGAGGGATGTGTACAAAGACCCAAGGACCACTCATCTTGTGGCTCTACAATATTCAACACATTATTTCCAACAGTGCTGAACTGTTTGTATGAAGTGAGTCAGAGGAAAAACAGAGATTGGGATATGGGAGGTCATTGTGTGTTAGTTAGGCTTTGAGAGCACACTCATTTCTAGTAGCCTTATTTTGATGGAAGGTCTATCTGCGTACACCTTACTAGCTAGTAAGCCAAGCTTGGAAAAGAAGTGCTGCTCTGTACAAAAATAAAATAATTCCAGATTTGTTTTAAAATTAAAACATCTGGTTGTATTCATTAAGGATCAATTAGCAACAAGATACTAGTTAGTGGAGCATTCATGATCCAGGGAATGACAAGGCCCTGGACAAAGATAGGGGAGATTCAGTAGTAAAGCAAACAAGAATGAGAGAGATTTTCTATAGAACTTAGAGGTCAAGTACAGTACTGAAAAGGAACATTCAGAATGTATGGGATATATTTTCCCTGGACACAGAATAGATCGTGGTACTAGTATTAAGGATAATAAAAACTAACTCTAAATATTAGAGAGGAATTCAATATTTAGCTAACAAAAGAAGGCTGTAAGTTTTGTTCTTCTTGAGGATTTTCAATGCTCCAGACACTGTACTAGGTGTTTTATACATATTTGTCTCACTTAATCTTCATAGAAATTTAGTGCTGACTTAATCTTCATAGAAATTTAGTGCTGAGTCATGGTGCAGAGTTATGATTTTGGTTAAGGAAATGGATGGTACACTAAGATAGTTCCTAGGCCATTCCCGTTTAAATGATATGAAGTACAGTGATATCTGGACTTTAAAGCCATTGGCAATAGTAAAAATGATAAGGAGTGAAAACTGTGATATATCCTGTCATGTGGCCACTCTATCTGCTCGTTTTAATTTGGTGTTGATATCCTCAAACTTAAAAGAAACTGGAATTTCATTAGACTAAAGTTACAACTGTTAAAACAAAAACAAAAACAAAACAACAACAACAGCCCAGTTCACGGTTAAAACAGATTTTTTTTTTCACACTGTGATGTACCACTTTTTGAAATACAGTGATGCTTAAAAATCACTTTGTTTTTTTTTTATTTAAATTAGAAACAATCTTGTTTTACATGTCAATCCCAGTCCTTCTCCCTCCCCTCCTCCCTTGCCCCCACCAACCCCTATTCTATCTCTTTCCTGCTCCCCAGGGAGGGTGAGGCCTTCCATGGGGGATCTTCAAAGTCTGTCATATCATTTGGAGCAGGGGCTAGGTCTTCCCCCATGTTTCTAGGCTGAGAGAGTATCCCTCTATGTGGAATGGGTTCCCAAAGTCCATTTGTACACCAGGGATAAATACAGATCCACTGCTAGAGGCCCCATAGACTTCAAAGTCCTCCTAACTAACACCCACATTCAGGGGGTCTGGGTCAGTCCTATGCTGATTTCCCAGCTATCAGAGTGGGGTTCATGATGTCCCCTTGAACCAGGTCAGCTGTCTCTGTGGGTTTCTGGAGTCTGGTATTGACTCCTTTGCTCATCACTCCTCCCTCTCTGCAACTGGATTCCAGGAGTTTGGCTCAGTGTTCAGCTGTGGGTGTCTGCTTCTGCTTCCATCAGCTACTGGATGAAGGCTCTAGGATGACATATAAGGTAGTCATCAATCTCATTATCAGGGAAGGGCATTTAAGGTAGCCTCTCCACTATTGCTCAGATTGTTAGTTGGGGTCATCCTTGTAGATCTCTGTATAATTCCCTAGTGCCAAATTTCTCCTTAAACCTGTAATGGCTCCCTCAACTGATGTGTCTCTTTTCTTGCTCTCCTCTATTCATCTCCCCATTCAATCTTCCTGCTCCCTCATGATCTCCTCTACCTTCCTCTTATGCCCTTCTCTTTTATCTAACTCCCTCTACATTCACTGCACCCCCTACCCTGCTCTCAATATACTGAGGAGATCTTGTCCATTTCTTTCCCCTGCTATGAGGGACCATGTATGTCTATCTTAGAATCCTACTGGCTTCCTAGCTTCTCTGGTGTTGTACATTTCAGGCTGGTAATCTTTTGCTCTATGTCTAATTTCCATATATGAGTGAGTACATACTATATTTGACCTTTAGTGACCATGTTACCTCACTCAGGATGGTTTCTTCTCATTCCATCCATATGCCTGTGAATTTTAATGTTCCATTGGTTCCCCCCCACAACCCCGGTTGAGTAGTACTCCATTGTGTAAATGTACCACATTTACTCTAACTATTTTTCAGTTGAGGGGCATCTAGGTTGATCCAGGTTCTAGCTATTACAAATAACGCTGGTATCATCATATTTGAACAGATTTCCTTTGTGTATGAGTGTACATCCTTTGGGTATATGCCTAAGAGTGAAACTACTGGGTCTTGATGTAGACTGATTACCATTTTTCAGAGGAACTGCCATACTGATTTCCAAAGTGGGTACATGTTAGCACTCCCACCAGCAGTGGAGGAGTGTTCCCCTTTCTCCACATCCTCTCCAGCATAAACTGTCCTTGGTGTTTTTGATTTTAGTCGTTCTGACATGAGCATGATGGTATCACAGAGTTGTTTTGATTTAAGAGTGGGATTGCCAGGTCCTGTGGTAGACTGATTCACATTTTCCTGCGGAAACGCCAAACTGATCTCCAAAATGGCTGTACAAGTTTGCACTCCCACCAGCAGTGGAGGAGTGTTCCCCAATGTTTTTCTGAGTGTAGCTAACTTCCTTGGGTTGGAGTTTTCTTTCCAGGACTATTTGTAGGTCTGGATTTATAGATACGTATTTTGAAAATCTGGCTTTGTCATTAAATATCTTGTTTTCTTTGTCTGTATTGATTGAGAGTTTTGCTGGGTATAGTATACTGGGCTGGCATCCGTGGACTCTTAGTACTTGTACAACATCTATCCACGACCTTCTGGCCTTGAGAGTTTCCATGGAGAAGTCAGGTGTAATTTTGATAGGTCTGCTGTTGTATGTTATCTAACCTTTTTCCTTCACTGCTGTTAATATTCTTTCTTTATTCTGTATGTTATGTGTTTTGATTATTATGTGGAAAGGGACCTGTTTTTTTTTTTTTTTTTTTGGTTTGTTTGTTTGTTTGTCCAGTCTTTTCTGTGTTAGGTATGCTTCTTGTACTTTTATAGGCATGTCATTCTTCAGATTGGGAAAGTTTTCTTCAATAATTTTGTTGAATATGTTTTCTGCACCTTTGAGATGGGCTTCAATGCCTTCTTCTATGCCTATTATTCTTAGATTTGGTCTTTGCACAGTGTCCCACATTTCCTGGATGTTTTGTGTGATGGATTGTTGGAGTTAAGATTTCCTTTGGTCAATGAATCTATTTCCTCTATTTTTCTTCAGCACCAGAGATTCTCTCTTTAATCTCTTGTATTCTGTTGGTTATGCTTGCATCTGTAGTTCCTGATCATTTACCCAGTTTTTCTATTTCCAGCATTCCCTCGGTTTGTGGGTTTTTTTTTTTTTTTTTTATGGTGAAAAAGTGTGTATTTGGAATTAGCCAGCTGGACTCAGTTTAAATGATCCCAATTTTGTTGGCAACATCCAGAGCATCATAATCAGGAGCCAACCGAACATACGCCTTCTTCTCTCTGTCAGGCCTTATGAGGGTGTTTACTTTGGCCACATCAATGTCATAGAGTTTCTTCACAGCCTGTTTGATCTGGTGCTTGTTAGCCTTGACGTCCACAATGAACACAAGTGTGTTGTTGTCTTCTTTCTTCTTCATGGCTGACTCAGTGGTCAGAGGGAATTTGATGATGGCATAGTGGTCAAGCTTGTTTCTCCGGGGCGCACTCTTCCGAGGGTATTTGGGCTGCCTCCGGAGCCGCAGGGTCTTGGGCCGCCGGAAGGTGGGTGACGTATGGATCTTCTTCTTTTTATGGCTGTGGATGCCTTTCAGCACTGCCTTCTTGGCTTTCAAGGCCTTCGCTTTGGCTTCGGCTTTGGGAGGGGCAGGAGCTTCCTTCTTCGCTTTCGGCGCCATCTTGGCGAAAAGCGGTTTGTGTTTTCTTTATTGTCTCTTTCAGTTTTCAGGTCTTGAACTGTTTGAAATATTTCCTACATCTGTTTGTTTTTCCTTGTCTTCATTGCTTTCTTTAAGCGATTTGGTCATTTCTTGCATTTGTTTGATCTTTTCCTCTATTTATTCCAACTTTTTTGTTTGTTTGTTTTCTTTTTTCCATTTCTTTAAGAGATTTTCCCCTATAATCTTTGAGGGACTCTATCTTTTAACGAAGTTAATTTTTAAGTTGTTCTCTTCTGTTTCATCTGTTTTGGTGTGTTCAGCTCTACTTGGTGTAGAGTCCCTAGATTCTGGTGTGTCATACTGGTCTTTTTATTGTTGGGTGTTTTCTTGTATTGCCGTCTTCCCATGGCTTCTTCCAGTGGCTGTAGGTAGAGTCTCTCTCTACCCTGCTCTCCCCGTGTGTGTAGGTGGATCAGGATTTCTATTTCAGTAACTAGATGATCCAAGCTCTCTTGGAGGTCTCTCAAGCAGAAGCCACAGCAGGGCCAATGATGGGAACGCAGGCTCAGGGTGGTCTCAAGCACTCAGGCAGAAGGAATGTGAAGGAGCCCAAAGGTCAGGTAAGGGCAGATGGTTCTGTGTAGATGGGCAGGAAGTTCCAAGGAGATGGTGGTGATGTTGGACCTGCACTGTGACCAAATGTTCACCCTGAGCAGTGGACCCAGCAGGGCTCAGGATCTGAATGCATTCTTATATTGTTGTCTTCCCATCCCTTCTTCCAGTGTGTGCAGTTGGGGGTCTTTTTTCTCTCCTGGTGGATACGGGTTCAAAGTTTTCTTTTGGTAGGTGCAAGTAGGTCCAGTACTCTAATGGGTTTCTAGGTGGGTATAGGCATATCTGAGATACTCCCTCTTGTGGTGGGTGGAGTCGGAACTAGCATGGAGACTTCAGCAGACTCTGGGGCAAATGTGCTCACACTCCCCAGGCCAGGAGATCCCAGAGAGGGAAAGTGGAAGTGCAGCTTGAGACAGGGCCCCCCACATCTCCTCCCTGAGTAGGGATGGGACTTGTAGAGCAATGTCAGCAGACTCTGGATGGTTCACAAGGGGCAGTTGACCTTCCCCCAGTCTCCAGGCCAGGGGATCCCAAAGAGCCTCCTAAGCATACGTAAATTTGTGGGGTTTTATCTCTTAACTGCGTCCAAATCAGTAGTTAAGTGAGCACAGGAATAATTATGTCACATACCAGAAAGAGTCTGATCACTCTCATAGGAACTTGGGAATCACTTTTAAGTAATAAATATGAGTTGTAATGATGAGGTGCATTGGGAAGTGCAGATCTAGAAACCAGGAGAGCTTTCACACAGTTGGAATTTGTCAAATAGAATACATTGTACAAAGTGTCTTTTATGTGTTGTGCTATGCAGTGATAGTGTCCTATATTTAGCTGAAAAAACAAAGGAAACACTCACTGCTCTCATCAAGAGGAATGTGATATTTTGAACCAACTGAGAGATGGTTATCTTTCATGCTGAGATTATGATTCCTTCTTTCATTTTTTGATTGTATGATTTTGCCAATGTACTTGGAATGGATTAAAGATGGAACATTTGAATATTAAGAACTCCATGATGCCTGGCATTTTCTCCCCTAAACTTTAATAGAAATGCTCCTCTTTTCCTACTTTAGATGCTAATACATTGCACTTGAGTTTCCATTATTGAGAGTGCCTGTGAAATGACTGGGAACCAGGGAAAGCATTTGTGTAACATATTCAATAGTATAGGATTTAATGTAATCAGGGCAACCAAGTGTTGCCCTGATAGCTTTCTTTCACACAGTCCTTTTTGTAATTGCTTTTGCTCTAGGGGTCTCTACCTGCAGTTCTTTATGCTCTGAGCCACATTTAGTGAGCTTTACTCTAATAAACAGCAACAAGGACATAGAAGAGATAGAGTGACTCATTTGGGGATTGGAGAAGGCTTAGAATGAGGAAAAAAAGAATAAATAGTAGGAATTTCAGTCAGTCACAAATGATGGTGTGTGCTGTGTGCACCCATATATCGAGTGACACATAGAAACGACTTGTTATATGTCAACAAGTATGCCATGGACAGGTTGTAATAACAAACTGAAATCCTCTGTCAGAAGACAGGCAAACAGACACTTAGAAACCTATGTTAAAAATTGTAATATTTGAACAAAGTGCTCTATGCTTTCTAGGAGCTGGAGGAAATCATGGTGTCCATATTAAATTAAGAAAGCATCATGGCATAGGTAGTATTCAATGAAAGATTAGAAGAAGTATTGTATACAGGAAGATCAGGTATTCAGGCAGGGAACAAAGATGGATGCAGATTCTCCTGTGAAATCTTAAGTATTTGTTGATGAATGGAGAGTGAGGGAAAGTAGAAACGTCAGAAAATAAGGATGGAGTTACATCTCTGAGGTAATTGTTGAGCTCACTTTTTCCATCTGAAGGCTACAATCAGTGATAAGGTGATGCCCTCCCTGCCTGTGCACTGTCTCCTGTCTCTAGCTTGAGGATTTAATGGTTAGTCTACAGACAACAGGGATTCTGGTGACTAATGCACTGATTGGTTTGGGTGTTTGGGAGGGCATATTTCAAGTGACTCATCCTGTACCGATAAAGGCTATTAGTGATTTAGTATCCTTTCTTTTGTACCATAAATTCCGGATCCTGTAATTGTGGTGTAAAGGACAGGAGCCTGCCAACTCTTTCTAGATAGTGTTGTCCATCCTTTAGATTTTAGAAATAACATCTCTCCGAGCACAGAACACAGTGCTCCACTTTCAAGAGTCCTATTGGCAGATTGTCTACAGTAGGGCTCACACTGAACACCAAAGACCTTCTTATCCTGTTGAGTTTAAACTGGAAATTCCTATGTTCATTACTATTTAGCAGGGTTGTCTCCTGGCCAAACAGCCAGGGTATACAAGTAGAACCAAAATTATTTAGTCTTTGGAACTCTAGTCATCCCAAGACATTTACACTTTTTTTCTCTAGGGTTTCACTTAGTTTGTGTCTCCACTTAGCAACATTCTAGGAATCACTGAAATGTTTTTTTTTCCCCTGTAGCAACTATAATCTAGTTGATCCATTCATTTACATTCATATTAATTTTATAGTTTAAATAAAAAGTATGTAAATTATGTAATCATGCACATTTTAAGGTATGAAAATGCAGTTAGTTCCACATCATTCTGCATAATGAACACAACAGGTTGTAGCATAAGAAAGGTACTGAAAATGGCAAATGGCTTATCAAGGCAAGAGTTATTATCAAGACATGAGGACCAGAACCTCATCTTCCAGTGGATCCTTGTACATAGGCCAAGGGCAAATGAACATGATATTAACTGGCTCAGCTAGAACAAAAAAACGTTGCTGTTGGCAATTTATAGACAGTCCAATTTATTGTCTAGTGTTCTGGCGAATTAGAAATCCAGATTAAGGCACCACCAGATTCATTGTCTAGCCTTATTCTATCTACTTCAAAGATAATTCCTTCTTGTTTTACCCACAGTATTCAGGCTAGTTCAAGAGACAAGATGTATGCATCAACCCCCAAATCATGAGGCAATTAAGAAGAATTAAGGATTGTTTTGATAGATTATACCAGTACAAAAGTTGCATTTGGCTTTATAGTGTTTTGAATGAATAGGCTGTTTCTTGCTGTAAACTCTACGTGTAGCTTATTCCTTTCTTGGAAAAAAAAAAAAAAACTTGGGATTTACTATCTGATCATTTACTGGAAGCAATTTCTCTCATGCAGTTGGAGTTTACTGATTACTTTCCTTAGCTATGTGTGAGACCTGTTTCCCACTATCAGGTCCTTTTTCCCTCTCCTATGTAACTGCAGAAATCTGCTTTCCTGCAATTCTCCTTATTGACAGACACTTGGTCAGTGCTTAGGGCCCAGGCAAAAGCATTCCATCTAAGACATTCCCAGATATTCAAGGGCATATAATTGCTACACACTCAAAATTGTTGATTCATAGCTGCCTTGATAGACAGAAAAAAATAAGTGTGCCCTGGTTTTACCTCACTGGAAGATAGAGAAGTGATCATCTAAATTGACCCTGCACTAAAAGATTCTCAAAATTCTCATTCTGGTTTATTACCCAAAATTGTGGCTCAGAAATTTACTGTTCCCTCCTGTTTCTCCAGAGAAAGTAATAACAAAGTAATCATCCCATTGCTCATCTTCAGGGAAAAGTAAACTTTCCTGAAGTCCTGTGCTGCTACTGATTCCAGAGCACTGGAAAGTGCCAGGTTTTGTTTTTTGTGCAAATTCAAATTAGACCCTCTCCATGACCCACAGCCCTAAACAATTTGTGCTAAAAATTAATCCTAGCAGTTTTAGTTTATTGCTCTATATGTACATCTTATCTGCCTAATTTACTATGACTTGGGATTATGGGCTAAAATAAATGTTTACTGCCCCCGGGGGGAGGGAAGAATTTTAGGGCCAGGTGGTGGTGGCACATACCTGAACCTCAGTACATGGGAGGCAGATCTCTGTGAGTTTGAGGTCAGCCTTGTCTACAGAGTGACCAGCCAAAGCTGCTAAACAGAGAAACCCTGTCTCAAAAAGCCTTAAAAAAGGAAAGAATTTTAAGAAATAAAAATAATATCTTGTCTCAAACCATGAGCAAAAATCACCTGTCATTTCTAGTGCAATACATAATCAGACCCATTTAGCAAAAGAAAAACATAAAAGGCATCCAAATATTAAAGAAGAAGGTCACGTTGTCTCTATTTTTAGACAACAGGGTATTATATTCAGAAAAATCTTAAATACAACACCAACCAACAACTAACATTAACAAAACATTTCATTAAATTTGTGAGATAGAAAATAAATGTAAAAAAAAGCAATATTTTCATACCTTAACAATAAACTCCTTGTAACTGAAAAAAGTACTTCATTCAGTGTTGTTACAATATAATAGAATATTTATGAATACATTTAATCAAAGAGGTGAATTATATACGTGCTG